TATTATTATTATTATTATTATTATTATTACAAAAACAATTGTTTATAAGATTCTAAAGTTGTTTGACTATGCTATTAAAAAAATTTACTAATTATTTTTAAAGAAATTTTTTCATGAGATACAAAAGAAAAAGATAATATTGATGTTAAAATAAATAACTTGAAACAATTGTTTATAATTATGCAATTTATATTTATTGTGAATTATTATTAGTTGGTATATTATTATATAATATAATAGAAAAATACATGATTACACTCAATAGGATATATTAATGTGAGAAGTAAAAAACATTAATGATAAATTTTGTAACCGAAAATGGAGGAAAAATTTTAGAGGTTTTATTAAATAAGTTTTATTAAATCCTATTAGCTAGTAATTATATATATATAGATTCTAGGCAATTGTGTAACTATTTTAGCACAAATAATATTGATGCAAAATTTATTTTTAAAACGTAAAAATACAATTATTTTTCAATTAGCGTCGATTTATGTAAATGACCCTTTAGTCTTTTAATTAATTATATAATAGTTATCGTTTGAAGAACAAAAGAAAAAAAAAAAGTTTCTTATGCTCGTGCCGTACCCAAAATAGGCCCGAACTACAGTCCCCAGCTGTAGCCCAGTGTAATTTTTCCTTAAACTTGACTTTTACAAACATCTGAAGGCCCATAATTCAGTTGGAACAAAGTAAACGGCATGGATGGCCCATAAAAAGTCTTTCTTATGGTCTCCAGTCTTTACAAGTGGATAAGCATACGGGGGCCCAAAACTCAATTGGATCAAAATCATTGGGTCTCAACTCCCAAGTCCCAATGCTCCGGGCTCCATACCTTCTCTGTACAGTCTCCATACTCTCTCACACTCACACCCCTCATCACTAACTAGCCAATCTCCTCACGCCACGTGTTGCAGAAAATATCCAAACCTCAAAACAAATGACCACCAACCCTTCCCCATGCCTTATATTTATCTCAATCATAATCTCCTCACCAAATTTTCTTTTTTAACCATACATTCCTCTGTATATCTCGAAAGAAAGTAGATTGACACTAAAACCCTTTAAAAATTGATAAAAATGTCAGTTTTAACTCTTTCCATTCCCTCCAAGACCAAGAGCGATGACTTCACTTGAGAATGAACACTAGTAATAATGTCTTGAAGAGTGTCAACTCATATGAAACACAACATTATTTAAGTTGTCATATTTTTTCAACACATGTGCATAGTTTCAAACTTCATCCTTATATACTTTAAAAGACAACATAAACAAATATATGTTATTTCATAACATAAACAATATGCACTTTATGACATGTCCATCCCCTACTAACTCCCCTCATACAATAACATGTGTTTCACTTAGAACATCTACAATACTTCGAGTCTATTACAAAGTGGACACATCTTAATACATGCATCGTATTGAATTTAGTTACTTTTATTTAGTCTCTATCTGGGATGTGGCAGTAAGNCAATCCACCCATATTTGATAAAGATTCAGTCTCTTTGATTGATTGGAATAAATTTAATTTGTTTTATCATCCAAGAGTTGGTTCATGACACATAAACAAAATTAGACTCAAAATATTGTTGATCTTCAAGGAGTAGACACTTTGTAATCATGTCTTATATTCATTGGTGAAAAGCTCTCATATTTGGTTCAAAATTACCATCTCTAGCATTCATAGAAAGCCATAAACCCCATAAACAGTGACTGACACATCACTCTCCTCTTTATAAAACCACAAACACCTTTTTTCCTATCCAACAAAAAAAGCCATATCCAATCTCTTTTACTCTCACTATAACCTCTTATTCTCTCCTTTCTTTGTCCTCACATTGTATTATCTTAATTAATTTCCACAACAACTGCTAAAAAATAACAGAAAAATAATAAATAACTAAAAAAAATCATGAAAAAAATCACACCACCATCCCCTCCTCTCTCATCACACTCACTATTCAGTACTATTAACTAACCTCTTTTGAGAGAGAGAGAGAGAGAGAAAGAGAAATACCTAAAAATGGCGGTCTGCACAGTCTACACAGCTCAATCCCTCCACTCGGCGAGCTCGATCCCCACGCCACCGAGGTCCAATTTCGGATCCAGCCGGAGACAGGTCCTCTTCTACACAAAAGGAGCCTCCTCCGGCGGCGGCCGGAGCATGACGGCGGAGATCTATTGCTCGGCGGAGGGGAAGACGGTGGTGATCGGGCTTGCGGCAGACTCCGGGTGCGGGAAGAGCACTTTCATGCGGCGGCTGACGAGCGTGTTCGGCGGGGCGGCGGAGGCGCCGAGGGGCGGGAATCCGGACTCGAACACGCTGATAAGCGAGACGACGACGGTGATCTGCCTGGACGATTACCACTCACTGGACAGAACCGGACGGAAGGAGAAGGGGGTAACCGCACTGGACCCGAGGGCCAACGATTTTGACCTTATGTACCAGCAGGTCAAGGCGGTTAAGGAGGGGGTGCCGGTCCAGAAACCGATTTATAACCACGTCACCGGTTTGATTGACCCGCCCGAGTTGATTAAACCGCCAAAGATCTTCGTCATCGAGGGATTGCACCCCTTGTGAGCTGCCTTTTTTTTTTCACTTAATTATTTTGTTTGTTACGGAAATTAAATTGATTAACCAATTAATTAATTAGTTCTAATTAAAGGAAAAAATTTTATGTTGAATTGTATGGCTGAGAATGTTATAAACTCTTGATTTGTGATTTATGAGGATTTTATTATCGNTAATTTAAGTGTTAATTTGTAGAGACTTGTTAATTTTTATGTGTCAGATTAGTGGTACTTTTTAATCTCATCGTTTTTATATTTCAAAATGTTTTGTCAACTTCAATTTTAAATGTATTTTAAAATTGAATAGCCTGTTTATCAACTTAAATAATCAATATACTTAAAAACTTAATAGTTTGTTTATTTCTATTGTCTATCATATTCAATTCCGCAAGTATTGCATGTACAAAGAAACTATATCGGTATTTATACATAAAAATTAATTTGTTTCTAACAATCTAGTAACTACATATTACTAGATAATGTTAAACGATTATTTAGCGAAAAAAATAAGTTAAAATCTTCTTAATATTCTTTTTATTATTATTTTGACCTAATTCTTCTTCTCATTTTTGATGTTTGAATGTATATAGGTACGATGCACGAGTGAGGGATCTTTTGGACTTTAGCATTTACTTGGATATCAGCAATGAAGTCAAATTCGCATGGAAAATTCAGGTAATTAAATTCTTGTTTCACTAAACTAATTACTGGTTAGTGTTTAGCGTAACTTTATCATGTATAGTTTTTTGCCAATTAATGTCACTAAAATGTTTAAAATAATGATAAATAACAATAATTATAATCTTCTCTCTTTTGATTCTTGTTATGGAATTGAAAGAGGGACATGGCTGAAAGAGGACACAGCCTCGAAAGCATCAAAGCTAGCATTGAAGCCCGAAAACCAGATTTCGACGCTTATATTGGTAATTATTCTAATTTGTGTTTTC